CCCTCCCCCCGGGGCACGGGGACCAAGCAGGCAGTGACTGCCCCGTCTCTGGCGCCGGGTGCGGTGCCCGCAGCAGCAGGCGGGCATACAGCACGGGCTGCTGGCACCACTGCCACCCCTTTCCTGGCTCTGTGCTCTGCCCCGGCTGCTCCTCCCTTGGTCGGGGGGCTGCCCTCGAGCTCTCCTGTGCCCTGGGACTCCAGGCAGTCAAAGGCACCAAGCAGCAGTGGAGCCCCCGGGCAAACCCTGTTTTCCTCCCACATGGCCAAGGGAGCTGGACAGGGCTGGGGGACCAGAACAGGGCAGAAGGGAAGGCTGCACCAAAGCCGTGTCCTGCTCTCCCATCCCCGAGGCAGCTCTGCTGCAGAGCAGCCACCTGGGGACGCCCCGTGGCTCTGGTGCAGAGGCCCCGGGGGACTTGGTGTGTCACCGCTCAGGACTGCGGGAAGTGGCACATGGGCTGGGACAGCGAGGAGGAGGAAGGGGGAAGCACCTCAGCCGCTGCAGCCGGAGCTGGAGGGCAGAATGCTGCCGCGCGGGCGCCAGCTCCGCGTTTCCGAGCACTGCGGAGCGCCGCTGCTCCTGGCCGCAGCACGCGCAGGGGAAGGAAGAGACCCTTTAAGCCACTTTCACTTCCCTTTCTGGAAGCAGAGCAGGACTGGAACTCCACGGGGCTGACTCAGGCAAACATCATCCCTGGACACCGGGGAGCCCTGGCGCCTCGAGCCGCCCCTTGTGAAACGGGGCCGTTGCTCAACGTGGCCATCGTGACGGGCGTGATGGAGCCTGGGGCAGAGCCCCAGCAGGGCCTGGATGGACTGGGCAGCACGGGGGCATTCGGCACACGGAGCAGGGCTGCAGCAATGGGATTCCCACCTCCGGCTTGTCCTGCTTCCCTAGCTTCAGCAAGGGGAGCTTGTGGCCACGGGCCTTGCCCCCGGTCACAGTGAGGGGCTGAGACCCCCCAGCAGCACAAACCCTGGTGGCTCCAGAGCAGGAGACCTCAGACCTGGCTCAGTTCCCGGGGAAAGTGGAAGCTGAGAGCGGAGCACCAGTCCCTGCTGCTCTGTGCACAAGGCACCCCGAGGCCTCCGGTTCGTGACACTGCACCCGAGCAGGCGGTTTCATAACATTTAAGATCTTCAGGACAAGCATGAAGGAACCAGAACCTCTTCTGGGAAGTGAAATGAGATTTCATGAGGAGCCATGCACAGAGGAAGTGCAAATGGGAAGATTTCCACTTGTCTCAGAGCAGATTTTAAAGCTGAACTGAGAAACTTTCACGCAGCACCGGCACGCTGGCACCGTCGTGCCCCAACCGCGGACATGGGCGGCACAGGAGGGCTATCGTGAGCGAGGACGCCCGG